TTTGGCCGTCTTTCATCTCCAGTGCCCCCTCCCCGCCCCCCCCAAATCTGGGTCTCCAATTCCACGTTGCCACAGAGATACTTGATCCTAGCTAAGGCGTCCTTCTTGATCTACAAGGTACGATTCTTGAGTCAGCAGCTCTCGCGTTACTCCTTTGGACTGTCCCTTAGATGTGTCCCCTGTGCTGTATGTCATGCCAGTGAGTGCTGGCCAACGAGTTAAAAGTGCAATGGAATAGCCCAAAGACTAGAAGTGAGGAGGAGGAGGAGTAAGGAAGAAGAGGTGTGCTGGCAGCCTGCCCCAGCCTGGAAGATGTGCAGTTTCTCAGCATTCGGAAGGAAGACTCTGGACTCTTCCAGGGCTCCGTGAGCTGCCATGGTGAAGTTGGCATCCCCTGAGGTCACCACGTCAAAGACGCACGACTGGAAGTAGACATCTTCCACCGGCAACATCTCCTTGCAGAGCGCGCGGGCTGTCTCGGCTGCCATCTGGCCCCGGTGGCACTCGCTGCGGGAGATGCGCTGGCTGAGGGGACAGCCGCCCACGCAGAGCTGCAGGTCTTGTTCTTCCGTGAAGGAGCGCGCCACCTCCTCTGCTGCCCGGATGGAGAAGGAGAGCTGGCGCCCAGCCTGGCGGACGGCGATGGTGGTGCCGATGTACTCCGCCCGGATCTCCACATGCTGCCCAGGCGTGCGCTCCCAGATAGCCAAGCTGCTTCCTCCCGGCCTCTCGCCCCCATTCACTGAGCCGTCCTCGAAGGCGGCAGGAAGGTTATCTATCTCAGCCTGGTAGACCTTCTGGTCGATGCATTCCTTCATGTTCTTGAATATGATGGTGAGCTGCACAGAAAGCAGATCAGAGGCAGTTTGACCTGTCTCACTAGGCTCCCCCATGGGAATTGTGGCCGTTTCCCCACCCCACGTACCAGCTCACCCACATTTGCCTCACTGGAGCACCTCCCTCTGCCCCATACCATCTCACCCATACTGCTGCAGTCCTGTTAGGAAAGCAATTCGTGCCCTTCTCTCTTTAAAGCTATTTAAGCAGCTGAAAACTCAGCAGGAGCCAGGCCTGGATAGACCACACTGAGGTAACCTGTGGACCACACAGCCATCCCCAGGCAGCAGCATTATCCTGCCAGGCAATGGGATTGTTGACAGGTCTCTCTGGTCCCCTCAAGGACCTTCATCCCACTTGTTCCTGGGAACATTAATTCCTGATCCCATGGGAGTTTAGCTGAAGCTGTTGCTACCCTCCCCAGCCCTTTTAGTGAGGTACGCTCTAATTCTAAGTATTGAAATACCGTGCTTGAGCAGGATATTTTACCCTGCTTGAGCCAGGGGGTGGGGGGGGGAGTATGGACTAGATGATCTCCAGAAGTCCCTTTTAACCTCAACTGTTCTGTGATTCTATGAAATAGATGGCAGTTTAAGGGAAAAGATGACATGAGGGCATCTCCACATCTGTTACAGGGCGATCGTCTCTGCAGGGACTGCCCAAAGCCATTCCTGCATCCCAGAGGCCAACGATTTGCTGCCAAGCCCTAGGCAAGAGCATTACCTTGCTAGTAACCGTAGCGTTGGACCCCTTGGCCACTGGTGAGCTGGTTGCTTGCACAAACAAGTAGTCATTGTCCAAGAGAGGCCAGGAGCCCTCCACCCGGCAAGTGTGGAAGTCGTCATGGAAAGTACGGATGTGGGGGTCCCCGAAGGCCGCACAGTGCTGGTAGCTGGGCGGCTGGCCATGCTTATAGAGGAAACTCTTCTCGTAGTTGCAGATATCCAGAGATTCAAAGCCCTGGTGGTTGGGGGCCGGCGGCCGGGGCCGGGGCGGCGAGACGGGGCCCTCCTTGGAGCAGTTGTTCTGGATCATGAGGTCCTCGATGCCGTGGACGGCAGAGTGGTAGGCCAGGTTGCCCCGGCAAGTGCGGGCCGTCTTGCGGGTGCAGTGGGAGTAGGAGCGGAGGGCGCTGCAGTACGCCACGTTCCTGTTGGAGCCACGCAGGTTGAGGGTGGCAGCCACGTACTCAGAGTTGCAGCGCAGGATCTTGCACTGGGAAGAAACTGGGAGAGACGGGATGGCCCGGGGCATCCCCGGAGGGCTGGGGAAGGGGCAGCCCCTCTCCTCCCATTCCTTCCCCCCCATCTGGTCCACTCCAGATCTCACGATGGAGACGCTTGCTGGAAGCACCTGGCTCCCTGTATTAAGTAACTCGGTGACTCATTTAAATGATTTGTCTTTTGAGTGCCTGAAGGGAAGGGATCCAGGGTTGCTGCTGCAGATACCAGTGCAGAGGGCAGCCCAGGGCGAAATCACAGGGCCAAAGGGGTGCGCGGAAGCAACTGGGGCATGTACCCGAGGCATGAACGCATGAACGAGAGCCAGGGCACCCGTTATGACTGTGACCCTGGGGTGCGGCGCGGAGAGAGATTCTTTGCCCCAGGGCTTCCCAAACAGGAATTTGTGAGCTGGGAAACCCCTTCTTGCCCTTTCAAGCCTCGCCAGGCTGTGCAATCGCTCTTTCGTGATGGACTGCACTGCCTCAAGGTGACCCAACCCCTCAACTGGGATTTCTCAGGGCTGCAGAAGGCAGAGCCATGTGCCACAGCCCCAGGAGGGCTAACGAAGAGCCCGCTGAGCCCAGCCTAGTAGGGACCATTCAGCTTGTTAGGCAGAGGGGTTATAACGGACAGCTGCCCACTAGGGAGAAAAGATCTGCCCTTGGAGGAGGTACATGCTGGCTGGTGGGGTCCTCTGGGCTGGGGTGCTCTGGGTGAAGGAGTGGCTCAAAGCATGCTGTTGTCTGGATGCAGGGAAGTGAGTTTAAACTTTGGGATGTGCAGGTCTGAGCCCTCCTGATAGAGGCTCTGGGGTGCAAGGAGGAAAGCAAGGGTCTGAGGGATGGATGCGGCTGGTGCCTTTTGATGGAAACGGCTCTGGAATAGCGTGGACTTTGGCTGGCGTCTGGTCAAGGGGGACAGTGGTGATGTGCTACTCTGGGCCCTACTGCCCCTGCCTTACCTCTGGAGATAGGCAAATCTGTTAGGGGCGCTCCCAGAGAAGCTGCTGGAGAGCAGGAGGATGCTCTCCTTGCTGGGGCAGATGATGGTGATGGGAAGTGCTGCCTGTGTTTCCCTCCAGCTGAGCCGGGGACAAGGGTGCTCTGATAGCGCCCGAGCCTCATGATTGCTATGAAATGCAATGTTCTGCTTTCTCCAGTCACCTCTTAGGAGAGCTCAGCCACGGTTTTACCCTCCCTGTACCCTCAGGCTGCAGTTCCCTCTGGCTGCCCTTGCCAAGGATGTGACCCTGGCATGACTCTGCTCATCTGGCTCCTTACCATGATGGCAGAAGAGGAGGAGGAAGAGTGCTCTCAGGAAGAAGCAGGGGGTTTCCGGCTGCCCTGGGCTCTTACTGCTGGCAGATGTCCCCATTCCAATCCATCCAGAGCTGAGGGAGCTGCTCACCCGCTGGCTTGTCTCTGCTTCATTTGGCAGGTCACCTGGAAGCAAGGAATAGATGGGCTCTGAGATGCACGAGCTAAAGCGAGCAGTGGCAAGAGGTGCCCGGAGCTGCAGGTATGGAGCTGCTGGGGTCCAGACAGCTGTAAAACACAGTCCTGCAGGATCTGGCTGCATCGCTGCTGCTCCTGGGGGGAGGCAGGCTTTCAGGCAAAATCCCAAAGGGCTTGCTTGTTTGTTTTAAACTGCTTTCAGCCCCTGCAGTTCTCATCTTCTGCCCAGAGGCAGCTGCGTGATGTAGTTCGGTGTGTCAGGCAGTTAAAATGTCCAGCTACCCTCGAATGGGTTGGCTAGCCCCGCAGGCTCGAAGAGACTTTGGGGCATGGAAGAGAGCAGCTGATGAGTGCAGCAAGGACCCAGGCAGTGTTGGGTACGGCATGGGCTACCTCTGGCACACTGCTATCTCCAGCCGTGATACTGGCTGGAGAGGGTCAGTTAAAAACAAAGATGTGCAGTACGTGGCATCCGAGGGGGTAGGAGCAGCGCTGGGAGAGGCGGCACTCCGGGCTCTGCCGAAAACCTGTACGCAACATGCGGCTGTTCCCAAAGCCGGAGAAGGCGCTTGCTGGCTCCCTGCGCACCGGGAGGCTCGAGCTGGCCGAAGGGGGACTGCCAGGAGCACATCCCCACTCGGTGCGCGCTTAATCATGTCAGACAGCTGGCCAGGGCAGGAGGAGGTGCAGCCGTGGTTAAATTTATCTTCCCTTCTGCTTCATTGAGGCTGCGTATTGCTGTCCTCGGGGGCTGATTTTAACAGCTGGTTATTAGTCACTTGTTAGTCAGATAGCCTTTTGCAAAGGTCCTTCGGAAGCTGCTGTGTGTGAAATGAGTATTTCCCCCTCCAAGCTTGTGTGAGACGCCGGTTGCCAGAGGCCAATGCCCACAAGGATGTGCCTGGTACCTGGGGAGCCCAAGGTGTGTGATTACTGATGCTGTGGCTGCTATTAAGTGCAGGCTACAGCCAGGAAGGAAAAGAGGCTGAAGGCTCATCCTTCTCCAAAAATGCAAAACTGCAGTCCTACCAGCTCTGCCTAGCATCTCTCAGCTCCTTTTGCTGTGGCTGCAGCAGCCAAAAAATGCCATTAGTTGTGCGGGCTGCTGCGGTGACGTAGCTGAGCGCTGGCTGCCCCCGTGTGCCTCTGCCAGCGGGATTAATGGCTGAAGGGGGCAGATGTCTGGAGTGAAAACACGCTCCAGCTCTGCTGGCGATGCTCTGGCTGCCAGCTGCTCTCGGCTGCGAGGACTAGCTGAGCCGAGTGTGCTGGTGGAGAGGAGCTGGGGCATAGGGACATGAGCAGAGACCTCTCAGCACTACCCCAAAACCCCTGGAGGAGGTGGCATGGAGGGGACTTGTCCCTGGTGTGACGCTTAGAAATAAACACCTGGTTAATGTGTAGCAGAGAAGCGCAGCTCTGGCAGGGCTGGGAGATGGAGAGGCCCTGCCGGCAGCAGGACTGTCTTTGGGACGTCCCCATCCTTGCGGTGTTGGGAGGAGAGAGGCAGCGGCGAGCCGGAGGTGACTCTGGCTCCCAGGGTCGGCCAGGGAGGGCACAAGCGGTGCAGTCCCTCTGCCCAGCTCTCCTGGGACTACCTGCACCTGGGACCCTGGGGTGCCTCTGCGTGCTTCTGTCCTGCTCTCCCCTTTCCTCAGACCCTCATCCCTGCCCTTACCTGTGTTGGCCTCCTCTGGAGATGACCTGGCTCCTGGTGTTGAGGCTCCTTCCCTGGGGGGCACCTGGGCTGGCTTGTCCTTGTCACCTGGCTCTACCTGCTGTGAAGGCCAGGGAGATCCATGGGAGGGCAGCAGGGAAAAAACCACCCTCAGTCCCAGGCACCTGCATGGCCTCGCAGACGGACAAAATCTCGGGTGCCGCTGGGGAGAGCCTTGCCGGGCCACAGGGTGCTGTGCAGCTCATGCAGCCCCTCCACGGGGCGGCTGGGTCCCTGCTCCTCCTCCTTAGCTACCTTTGCTCTGTCACCTTCCCCCCTGCGGGGCAGCGGATGGGTGTCGAAACAGAGCTGCCTAAATTTAGACAGGCTCAAATCCAGCCAAGAACAGCAGGCACATGGCACAGAGGGAGGCTGTGTGTGGCCAGGGGGCTGAGGAGCCCATGGAGGTGGTGGGAAGCTCCCCAGGGTGTGCAGCACGGGCTGGGTGAGCTGGCTGCCTCCAAGGTACCAGCTTTTCCTTCCCTTTTTGGCTCCTATAGCAGGTTGGCTGCAGCCCTGTGGACTGAGTCACTGTGACTGTGCTTTCCCAACAGGGTCTTTAATCATTTCCCTGATAGCTCTCCTTCCAGGGGGAAACTGAGGCACAGGCTGATTAGAGGGGACCTGGCAGAGCTGTGCTGGGTCCCAGGCCGGCCACAGTGCTTGGAGGAGCCCTGTTTTGCTCCATGGGGAGGACGGTGGGCAGCAAATGGCTTTCAGGTGCCCCACTGAGTCCTGAGTGCAAACATGGCATGGGCCAAAGGTGGCCCGCGTTGCTGGGGGTTGGTGAACGCCAGGCCATACAGGCTTTGCTGAAAGCTGCCTGCAAGGGCTCAGATGCAGCAAGCGGCCACGCAAACCCCTATTGCCATAGGGAGGAGAAAGGGAGGGTTGTAGCTCAGGTACTAGGCCAGGATCAAAGAAAATTGAATATCCAAGGAAGATGGTTTTGGTATCCTTCATTTGCTACCTATCAGGCTTCTCCTGGGGCGATTTGTCCATCTAGGATTCCTGGCCCTTGAGGCTGGAGCGAGGATTGAAAGCAGGTCCCTCAGCGCCCCCAGAGCTGACGAACCAATAAACCCCTCTGGAAACATTTCAGAAAAAATCTCCCTGCTTCCTAACCCAAACTCTTGCTGTTTTCCAGGCCTTAATCTTCACTGAGATGGGAAGCCTTACAGACCTGCAGTGCCCTCAATGCGTTTGCACCGCGAGCCTTTCACCAGCCTATGAGGACGGGGAAGAACATGGAGGGAGACCTAACAGCCGGATTTGTCTGAAACAGGTACCACAATGCCCCTCCTGGGGGAATTGTCCAATTTTCTGCTCTTCACCTCTAGACAAGTTTGGGCTCTTGTTTAATGATGGGGGGGGAAAGGGCTTTTCCCCCTCTGACTCTCTGCTGACCTACTCTGACTGGGTTGTAGCTGCTGCTAAACTGTTCTTCCTCCAGAGAACACGGGAAGGAAGGACGAATGGCTGCTGTTTCTTGTAGAATAAGCTTAAATCTACAACCACAGGCTCATGTTTAAGTCTGTTGGAGTCTTCCTTGGAGGCAAGGGTTAGAGGAGAGGAAAACAAAGAATAAAATGCAGGCTTGGGTTGAAATCCCAGCTGGGATTGGCATCAGCAGCCCCCAGTGGAGGAAGGGGTTTGGGACTCCCAGGTCTTTGCTGCTGGGACACATGGAAGCTTTGGAGGTCTTTTGCCTGCCCCGTGTTTATGCACTGGGTATCTGTTACCTGGTAACAAGGGCCTGAGATAACAAGACAGTGGAAAAAATCTTGTTTAAAAAAAAAATTATAATACCCAAATCCCAGTGTAGCCTGCCGAGGTCTGGCCTGGCCTGGTGTCCTCTCCATCTGTTTGCCACGTGTTTCCCTGCAGCGAGCCCCAGGCGCAGACGCAGACCGAGGGAATCGGTTACATGCGGGCCAGGAGATGGGGGCAGGCAGGTGGGAATTCTTCTGGGAACAGCAGACGGTACCATCTGGGCTTGGAGAGAGCAGAGGCCTTTTGGCATCCCACCCGCCCGCTTTGTCCGGAGCCTCTGGGCAGGGCTGGGAAACTTTGACTGGAGGAATCTGATTGGGATACCCAGGTTGCTGCCGAGGCCAGGTCCCAGGATCTTCTCTTCTGCCTCATCGACCCACTGGGTGTTGTGAGTGCGTCTCCCCAGCACTGGAAATTGAGGACGTGCCATATTTTGTCCATGCCGTGAAACCGAGCCATCAATTGTTTTAATGCTGTCAATGTGCAGCAGCTCTCCAAGCTGGGGGCTGCAGGCATATGTTGGGATGAGGAGGCTGGGAATTTCTCCCGAGCTGGCAGAGAGTCATGGTGCCAAGACAAAAGCATCTGTGATCAAACCGCTGAGGGACACCAACTCCCCCCTTCCCACTGATGAAATCAGCTGGAGGTTTAGGAGGTGCAAAGCACTGTGTCCTGCCAGCTGGATCACCAAATCCTGCCACAGTGGGGACTGCGGAGCAGCTGGTGTCACCCAAAACCCGTGGACGAGGGTTTCCCAAGCCCTGTGCTGTGTCGGGAGGGGAGCCCGTAATTGCAGCCCTGGCCTGGGGCTTTGCTACTGCAGGGTGGATCAGAGTGGGCTGATGCTGCTTTTCACCCCCAAACCCTGTTGCAAATCACAGAGCAGGGATGGCAAAAATCCTGCTCTGGCAATGGACTGGCATGCCGCAGGCGCGGCAGGAGATGCACGGAGCCACTCGCCCGAGCGCCTCCCTGCCCAGCACGGCTCACTGGACTGCTTCAAGCAGAAGCTGCCTCGTGGCTGGGAACACTCGGATGAGCTACTGGCTTCGGCACACGGCGGCCGTGAAATCCCTGGAGAAGGGCAGACTTGGAATTTGTGAGCATCACTGAAGTGGAGTCTCATTTGACACAAGCCAGATGTGGCCGGAGCAGTGTCTGCCCTCCCAAGGCACAGGCAGTGCCATCACAGGTCAGTCCTGGTCCCTGTTTAGCCTGGTCACTAATGCAATGAGTTTGGCAAGGGACTGGTTTAAGCCAAGTGCTTGGGGGTGTTAGTCTGCTCGGGGGAAGCAGCCCCCACGTGGCTCTGAGCTGGTGCCAGTCGTGTCTGCAAACCCACTGCTACAAGTGACACCGGTTTGCACCCAGAACAGCCTGCATGGATGGGAGAAAAATGCATCTAAAGAGGCATCGGTCTCAAAGGAGCTCATCTGCCTCCATCGGAGCAGTGGATGTGAGCAGCCACAAATCTCGTGCTGCAAGCGTCGCTCTGCTGAGAAGGGGGCGAGTGCAACTCATAGAGTACATCTCTTGAACATGCCTGGGTTAATCCACCCTCGGAGAGAGCTCAGCCAGCCTTTCCCAGGCAAACAAGCCCAGATCAATCAAGCTCATGAGGTTGGATGCGAGGGGATGAGACAAGCAGTGAATGTCAACCCTGGACCATGGCACAACAGCCAGGAGCTGGTGCTGAGGCCTCAGGGGAGATCAAAGCCAAGCATTGGTACTAGTGTAAAAGGAGATGCAAGCGCCTGGGGAAGCCAGGATTTACTGGAGGGATTTGCCAGCTCCTTGGGAGAGAATCTCATTGCTCTCCAAGTGCAGACACAGCAATGGGAGGGACATTTGTCCACCTGAAGGATTCGCTCTTCTCCTTTGCACAGCGTTTGGCATAGTGCCCCCTTTTCCTCCCTCCCCAAAACACAGAGCCCAAATCCCCGCAGAGGAGCTCAGTGCTCCACTTACCCTGGCCAGCGCCGCTCCGGCCAGCGATGGGGTGGTCTGCCGAACGCCCCTCCGGGTGCAGGTCCCAGCCCAGTGGCGCGGATTTTCCTCCGGGTTCCTCCGCCAGGCAGAAGTGCTGGCAGCGAGGAGGGAATCACGCCTGTTAACGCCCCGGGCTCGATGCAGCGGGAGCAGCAAACAGCTGAACTTTACGACAGCCCGATCTGTCACTGCGAGCTGGAGGAGCGAGGGGCGAAGTCGATGCTTTAAAAATAGCCAGTAGTATTTTTGATCCTGAAAGCTGGATTCCAGTGGGGAGGGGAAGAGAAAAGGGAGGGAGAGCCAAAAGCTACCCTGTTGCATGCGTTCCTGTGCTTCAAACCTGTGCTCTGAGCAAAACCGCCTGTGAGATGGACTGGGTCCCAGCAGGACTACACGTAGCTGGAGATCTCGGGGATTTCTCCAGGCTCTGAGAGAAGCAACGAGGTTGGGAGGACAAAGCGCTGCTAGAAATGCAAGGCAGGCTCCTCTTCCAGCAGCACCTGCCTCCCGGAGCGTGGGAGAGCCTGGCCGAGGGGCCTTCCTGCTGCTGAGGCCTGGGCTGGGAGCCGAGGGCCTGTGCCTGGGAGAAATGGCTCTTCTCCCGGCTCTGCAAAGAGCTAGATGGGATAACCAGTGAAGATACATGTCTTGAGTTAAGTTAGTCTTCCTTGGCTTTTGCCAGCCTGGATCTTTCCTTCTCCTTGGCTTGGGAAGCTCAGGAGATCCTGAAGGAGGGCAGATGCTGGGAGGACCAGAAATCTTGCTGCGCATCTGGAGAGGGAAGATCCCGAGAAGGTCGGGGAAGAACCTGGCAGCTGCGTCCTTCAGCTACCACACAGGGTGGTGCATCCAGGCAAGGCTGGCACCCCTTGGCCATCCCCTGCAGAAAGCTGGGGGCAGCCGGCACGAATTATCCATTCACCCTTCCCTGCCCTTGTCCGGTCCCCGTGGGCACTGCTCCCGGGATGCCGACGCGTGGAAAAATCACCCGCCACAAGCACCTGCTCTGGGGCTCAGCAACTGCAGGGGAGGGACGTGCGGGCTGCAGGGAGGCTAAAAAAAGCTCGGAGCAGATGCGGCTGGAGCCCGTTTCCCAGCACGTTGTCCTGTCCCTGCACGGAGGGACTCGGAGGTGCCTGCTGCCCAGATCGGCCACAGCCAGGCACCAACCCTGGAGCGAAGGGTGGCCGGCTCCCTCCCCAGTCACCGCAGCCCACGGTGCCTCCCTTGTGCACGGGCCGGTGCACGGGGCTGGCACGCTGCAGCCCAGCCCACAAGCCCTTCTGCTGCCTCCTCCTGCCTCAGTTTCCCCATCGGTTAAAACGTGTGCCGGCCTCTGCTTAGCCGTGAAGCAGAGAGGGAGAGTGAGGTCCAGGATATCTTTACATGGCCTCGTGGCGAGGACACCGCTGGGTGCGTGTGTCCTCTCTGGACACGTGTCTGGGCCCAGGTCTCCTGTGCACCCACTGCTGCGGCTGCGCCTGGGGGCTCGGCTGGGGCGTAGAGGTCCCCGCCGGGTCTGGCCAAGCGGGGGGGCTGGCAAGGACAGGGGCTGCGACACCACGAGATGGCAGCAGCACTTTGCAAGTGGCAGCGGGGCTCGCAGGGGACGCGGCCTGGCTGCAGGCCCCAGGGCTGTCCCCACCACCCTGTGCTCAGGAGCAGCGCTTGGGGCTGACCCCGGCTCTCTGCTTCGCTACAGGAGCCACCGCCGAAAGCTGCTCCGCCGCGGACGTGCCCAGAAGACCTTTGGAGCACGGGAGATGCAGGCGTGCGAGGTCCCGACTCTTTGCATCAGGGCTGTGCAACTGCCCGTGCGCCAGCAGGTTTGTCATCCGTCTCCTGCGTAGCTGTGCCTCGGTTTCCCCACTCGCCCTTTCACGTTACCCCTGAGGCCCTCAAGGCAGGGCCCGCTCCGTCACGCCGCGGCTCAACTGATAAGGAAAATGAAGCTGCTGGACTGGGAAAAATCAACCTTGGGCATCCTTTGGAGACTGTCGCACCCTTCCCGAACCTCGGGGACACTTGCACCCCTCCCCGCCACCAGCTGCTGAGGTCTCTGGAGCTCGCACGCTGGCTCTAAGCCCAGATTTAGGGTTCCTCTACCCTCAGGTCGGGGCTGCTCAAACTCTGAGTTGCTTCTGCTGCCATAAGCCGATGGAGAGGCTTTGGCTCGGTGCAGATGGATTAGCAAAGAGAGCCGGAGAGCTGCCGCACACAGGAATAACGCTATTTCCCAGGAGCTATCCAGTATCCTGCCAAGCATCACCAGGCCTCTAAAATGCTCCTGGAGGGGGGGGGTTGGAATGATCCTTTGGATGCTGCAGCAAAAAATGTTGATTTTTTTCTTCCGAAAGAAGCAGAGGCCTGGGGAGAAGATGAGCTAGAGCAGGGAAACGTCTCTGACCACATCCGTCCTTTAGGCGAATGGTCTCTCCTTGCTCCCAAACAGGAGAAGGAAATGAACTTGGAGCTGAGCTCCTGTTGGTGTCAGCCGTGACCAGAACAGCCCAAGAATACCTGGAAATGGTTGGGTTTGAAAGGGGGGAAAAAAACAATCTTCAATTTATGGGATTGTCCAGGAAGGGAAATAGAAGGGAAATAGAGAAATTTCTCCCCCCGCACCAACGTGAGGGATCGGAAAACACAGTAAATCACAGAGAGCCCTTTCCCGTTCGGTTTAATTGTGTCCGTGACACGGGATTCGACGGAGTTTCCTCTCCGCGGGGCGGTGGGGAGGGGGGCTTGGGCTGGGAAGGGAGGAAGAAATTTAGGGGTTTCCCAGCACCCGACCTGACCTGTTGAACTTCAGCTTGGAACCCCGATTTGTGGCCGGACGACCCGAACCTGCGGCTGCCGGCGGGAGCGTCACGGCCTGGCTGGCTCGAGGGAAGATGCTCTCTGCAGCTCACCCAGGTGTCCCATCCCAGGTAACGCAGGGACCAAAGCGGGGCCCACAGATAAAACACGGTGTGCACGTGGTCTGGGCACCAAGGGTCCCGTGCTTTGCCGGACGTGCTGCGGAGCCCGCGGCACGTCCTACGTGAATGCCTGTATAAAAGCATTGGCACGCGGCTTTCTGGCGTGGGTCTTTTCAGGCGATGCAAATGGCATGTGCGCAAGTTCATGGCTGCAAAATCCTCGGTGCATTGCCTGCTTTTCCATGCATCGTCCATCACCCGGCTG